AAAAAAAAAAAACCTTTGAGGATCCCCAAGATACCTCTCGCAGACCCCTGTTTGAGAACCTCTGGGTTAAAAGTTTTTGTGAAAATCATCAGATTTTAACATTGTAAACATTGATTTTCCACCCTGTTATGTATGTTCCACCCTGTGATGTTCCATTCCACCCTGTTTGAAAATGTGTTTTTATAAAAAAATATTGCAGAAACATTAAGTACTGTGAATCTTTCTGTGCCATGATGGGAATTGAAGACAATTAAATGCACATATATGTATAAGTTTTTAAAATCACCAATATTTTCTATGCTGCCGGTAACAATGAGTAAAAAATAAAATTAAAAAAAATTACAATACTGACATAAATTATTCGTAACTACATGTTACAATTTCAAGAATAAAACACATTATATAGTAAAAGGGACATATCCTTTTTAAGAAAAAAAAAAGTTATTATTTATCAATATTCACATGTTTAACTATTTGTTGTCTATATGTAAATGTCCCTAACAGGGTGGAACAAATTTAGATACGATGGTGAGAAAAACTACCTGTAATTATTACTTTATCCAGCCCTGAGCTTGACCATTATTCAGTTCTTTTTCTTCAACATGTCAGTTATGTAATAAAATATTTAAAACTTAAAATATTAAACTTTTTTTAAGTCCTGAAGCCAAAATGTTGCCGCAAAAAAAGAATCACCCTTTTGCCACAGAAATAAACCTGCGTGCCAGTTTTTCAAGGAGTATTCTCTGGGTGAAATCCCCAGAGCGGCGTAGTACAGTTTAAGGTGTGGACTCACCTCATTGGTTTTAGTAATTTTTAATGAGTCCCACTTGTGAGGGCCACATAAATATTCTTATTTTTTATGACAGTGAGAAGAAATAATAAATATAATTTATTACTAGCCAAAGTCATCATTTTTCATCTAGCTAAAGTCTAGTTACAGGCTGACTTCAGGTCTGGTTTAGATCATTGTTACTTGTAAATTATATTTTTTTTCTGGTATAATTCTGCTGTTTTACATGATTGTTGAATGAGATTAACATAATTATTAATTTATTGTAAAAACATGACCGATAATCTGTGAAACAGATCCGGTTCAGCTTGCTATCAGAGGCAATTTCTCTAAGACTGCAAGGGAAGCTCAGCTTCCCCTAAAATGTAAAAAAATAAAATAAAATAAAATATATACTGTTGTGTGTACATGTCATTGACTAACTATGTGCTACATCGCGCTCAACTTTTGTTCAGAATCAGCTTCTTATCACTGGTAACGACGCGGCTTTCGTCATTTCCTCATTTCACTCATTCCCGCAGCTTGACGGTGCTTTAAACAGTCGGACGCTGAGCGTCTACAGAGCTCATTAGCGATGCAAAGACTGCAGCGAAACGAGACGAGTCATTGGATAAATGCTGGCTTTGTCCCGCCCATCGGACGCTCAGCATCTCTGGGGGTCTATGGAGCAGTGGGCTGGGTCGGACGCTGGCTGTCTGCATGATGATTGGATAATCTGGCGGAGGCTGAATCCCTTTTTGATTGACAGCGAAATGAGCGAATCAGCGATCTCTTGGTGTAAACATGCATGGGAGCAGTTTTTAGTTTCGTTTCTGTTCTGAGTAGAACCGGAGACTTTATTAATCCTTTTAGCAGCATTTTCTTTGTTAAAAACGACTAGCGACAAATCGGACTTCTATTTCTGGTGGTTGTTTTGTAGCTGCTTATGTTTGGAGACGGACTTCTATCACTCTTTCTGACTTCTTCTGTCCAGCAGGTGCTGCTGAGCCCCTGCACCGTCATAAAACACTCAGACGGACACACTTCACTCTAGCCTTGCGCCAGTAACAAGCTGCACATATGGCAGACAGTTTGAATKTTGTGGAGCGGATTTTGGAGAAGCCATTTGATACAGTCTTATTTACAAAGAAAAACTTAAACAGCAGGGCCGATCAACTCCTCAGATTAATTTGGTGCAAACAGTGGGAAAGTAAGATAAAAAATATCTTTTTATTGATCCCACAGTGGGGAAATAACGGGTCTTTTCAGCTGTCCTGGTATGACAAAGTGAGCTGGCTGCTGTAAAAGACTATAGAATAATCTGGAAAATGACAATAAAAGCACTGGATCAATTAATTCGTTGGTTTGCCCGCCCGCCTGCCATCATAGTTCCGCCTGCCTGCCTGGACCTCAGTCCAGATCTCAGGTCTGAGTCCAGGTGTCATCTGGTCATGTCTGAGTCCAGGTCTCAGGTCTGAGTCCAGGTGTCATCTGGTCCGGTTTGAGCCCAGGTCTCAGGACTGGGTCCAGGTCTCATCTGGTCAGGGTTGAGTCCAGGTCTCATCTGGTCAGGTTTGAGTCCAGGTCTTATCTGGTCAGGTTTGAGTCCAGGTCACATCTGGTCAGCTCTGAGTCCAGGTCTCAGTTCTGAGTCCAGGTCTCAAGTCTGGGTCCAGGTCTCATCTGGTCAGGTCTGAGGCCAGGTCTTAGGTCTGAGTCCAGGTGTCATCTGGTCAGGTCTGAGTCCAGGTCTCACCTGGTCAGGACTGAGACCAGGTCTCACCTGGTCAGGTCTGAGACCTGGTCTCATCTGGTCGGGTCTGAGTCAAGGTCAAATCTGGTCAGGTCTGAGGTTCTAAAAGTGACAGTGGCGATGACATGACGTTACTTGACTTACCAGTTTGTTTGGGTATCTGATGAGAACAGGCTGCACAGGGACACCTGGAATAAAGGCACCTACAGGTGGAAACATGGGGAATAAATTAGAACTGTGTTAGAAATGCGTCAATACAACAGCATGGTCAGTGAGCAGCTTTAAGACTTGTTCCTGACATCCCCATTTCCTCATCTCCTTTGGAACCAGCAAAGCACACAGTGCAGAAATCACACTCAGATGTAATGAAAGGCTCAGTTATCAGGTGGATTGAATAGTATTTTCTAATGCATCAATGCAGACAAAGAAACCATAAAACAAAAGTCAGTTTTTGCATTTTTATTTAGTTTTGTATTCCTGTGTTCTTTTTTTGTGTAAACTACATTATACTGAACTACATTACATTAAACTTGTTGATGCAGTATATTATTTCAAAACATTGTTTATTCCACTTTCTTAGATTGTGGGAATAAATGAGGGAATATGGGAAAAAAAGCTGCACATACACATAGAGATGCTGACTGCACACAGGAAACAATAAGAAAATAATCTTCAACTTTCTAAACTTACCTTGTTTAAACGTGATAAGACATGAACGATTTGTACATGTTCCTTCTGGGAATATCAGAACCTGAAAGAACAAAGCATCATTGTTTTTTATTTATAAGTTGGACTTTTTATTACCAAATATGCTGTTGATAATTGCAACAGAGTTGTTTTTTTTTAAGTAATGCAAATCAACATTGTTCATATTTGTCTTTAGCTAAGCACTGACTTATAAAAAGCTCACTTATACACTATTTCAAAACTGACAACAAAAAAGCAGCAATGAGGTCAAGTTAACAAAACAAATTGTTGCTTCTTGAAGTTTCTGCTTATGTTGTAGACAAACCTGCGGCCAGCGGCCTCCTGACTTGGCTCTAGTTTCAATCGCCTGGATTGTGTTCTTCCTGGAGTCAGGGTCTGTTCTAGAAACCAACACCGGCTGGAGACAGCGCAAAAATCCTGCAACAATGTCAAAACATCCAAAGATATATTAATAAACATAGAAGAGGAGAACACTGTTTTTGCAATTTTCCCTATAATTACTTCACACATTTGCAGAGTTTTATTAGTGAGCCATTACACACTGCCTTAAAAAAAACTTGCTGCCACCTTGTATGTTGGTTCACAATGTGTTAGTGAACAGAGTGTGTAACAGAGATGACATCAAATTATACAGTATATAAATAACTGTTAACTTGACCAAGTTATTTTTAGTCCTGTTTTTTTAAGATTCAGTTATGGCAGCCATCCTAAATCATGTTGATTTGAAAAGTTATTATGCATTCAACGACTCCTTTCAGAGAATCTCATTAAAATTTCACTTCATGATTCATGAAATATTTAGCTAAGAAACTAACAAACTTACAGGCAGAAAATAACATAAGTAGTAACAAGTCGATGGGCCTCATGTAAGAACCGTTCGTACGCACAGATTTGTTCTTAA